GATGTTGCCCGCACTATGTGCGCGGCGCAGGCATTAGCTGACGCTGTTGGGCGCTATCGCGCGCCGCAGCAGGGACTGGACGGGGTCCGCGCACACGGGTGTGCACAACTGTTGGCGGGCGTGCTACTGGGCTTCGCCCGCAACGCTACCGCGCACAGGCAACCGTACGCAGCCTCGCTTGCGCACGCTGCCTGTCGCACTGACTGCTGGCCGATGCGCTGCTGCCGGCGTTCTCTTCCGACAACCTCAATACCAAATGACCACACATGACTTAACATGACCAATATATTGTATTTACAAGGAAATTGTTGAACTTGCTCACTGGACCTAACACACGGCTGTGGTTCACTCGCTACGTGCGAGCTCACGGCTCATGGCCCCTTCTTCGATAAACATGAAAACTTCCCGGACAACTTAACATAACTGAACATAATATGACTTAATTTGATCATTTAGATATAAATTGCTCGAACGAAACTGACCATAATAAGAAATAACCCGGAGCGGCCGTGACACGCACACCACGTGCGGTCCTTGGCTTTAAGCCAATTTCTCGACCGAACATTTGATTTACTCGACAAACTCCACTTAACTGAACATAAGACTCTTAATAAAGGCCAAAGAAACAATAAACGTTCGAGGCTTGCGGGAATAAAATGGACTTAGCTCGTTATAGAACTAACATGCCCTAACCGAGATCAACATGAACGTTCTGATGAATTTCTAAAAATCACTCGAACAATTAACCTTAGCACGACCTTACTAACATGAATATAAGCTGAGGAGGGAGTTACCTCTTCAATTACTCGATCGAAAACACCCCAATTACTCAAGCTCTTCTTGCTCCGTGCGTGCGTGACTTGCCGTGCGATTTGCCGTGCGATGATTATGAGAATTAAGGGATTTTTCTATAACTTATTGCTGCTGAATATGGGAGTATACTTGGGGGAAAGTATGCTGAGAATTGCCATAGGAAAATGAGGAATTTTTTCGGTCCAAATGGTCCTATTTATATCCAAGTCGATGGGGATGATGGTGACGCACGCAAGACGTGGCCATCCATTAATCTCACACTTGCTCCCTTATAAACTAAGCTTGAATGACTAATCTTCTCCCTTCAATTCTCCTTAAACACGTGTGATGGCTTAATGGATGAAAGGAAATTTATTTCCTTCAAGTTTAGGAAACTTAGCAAAAGTTGAGCCTTACACACTTCCATACGGCTTTGGACATAATTTCCTTAACTTAGAAATTTTTTGATAAACTTAGGAACTTAATATAAGTCCCTGCGGCTTTAAGCCCTAATATTGGATTAATGTTAATTAATCCCTTTCCTTATGTCTAATTATATAATTAAACATAATGCTTAATTACCAAAATTATTTCGAGCGTAAACGGTACGTCGAAAATATATTTCGGTAATCTCGACTGAGAGTAATTTAATTCCGAAAACAAAAATTCGACAACGTTATTATATCGGAACTGAAACATAATTTATACTAATACTATGTAGGGATATTACAAGCGCACTCTGATTTTCATGAAATAGCGGGGTGTTACAAATGGTATCAGAGCACATTTTTGTGTATCTGAATACTTCAGTGAGTCAAAAAGTTTTTAGAAAACCCGACCACGCTACGCTCACGCCCCGCCGACTACCAGGTAAGTGTTGTGTTACAGTTTATATATACTTAAACGAATGCTTTAGTCTATGCTCAGTAGAGGGTACCAGACATATGACCCTAGAAACCAGTAAGATGCTCGAGTCAATGATAAAGTTTTCTCAGAATATAGTCGATTATCCCAGTCATATGATATTTCGACTCTAGTTTCTCGTTTTGATTTTAGCGACTTGTCAAGAGATTTGTGAGCCATTAAGTAGTACAAATCTTTTCAGACATGTTTCTCAAATATTTTCTATCAGAAATTGCCATTCTGCCATTCAGTTGGCACATTCCAGCAAGAAATTCCTTGACCAAGGTCAGGGAATAGACTCAGCTTTCCTAAGTCAGATCAGTAAATCAAGTTCAAAGCTAAATTTCATGCTAAAGGTTGTTATATTTCTTAAGTCATTGCCAAAGGTAACGGTTTCCAGTGTATAAGAGTCACTATTCTTGGTTACCATGGAGGCTTGAAATAAGAGCCACTAAGCCGGGTATACCATGGAGACTTGAAGCTGGAATTGGAGCAGTATAGTTTCAGGAAGTGACGACCTTTAGAGCCAGTTAAGTCGGGTATCTTACCAGTAAGATATCTGAGTTTTAGTTGGCAAAGCTTAAGATCAGTTATTCCTTTTGTACTTGCGGGACCAGTTGTTACTGGAGTAACCCTATATAGTACATAGTCATGAATCAATATTCATGAGTTCAAGGTCGACGTATAATAGTTACAAAGCCGGGTTAAATGTGGACGTTTAAATTACAGATCATTACTCCAAATTTACCTGGAAACTTGAAGTCGCACCTTATCAAGCCACAGTAAGTCAGTAAATTCCATGTTCCAATTCCGAGACAACCATTTAAGTGTCTCAAGATAACTTTTAGAGTTCAAGTAAAAGTTATAAAGTCATGTGAAAGTTAAGTAAGGGTTATTTAGTCATGTGAAAGTTGAGGATGGTCTGTCTAATAAGACAAGACTTATAAGTTTCCTTACAAGTATATCCAATGCCGCGATTCCCAAATTCAGAATATTTGAGAAATCGCAAGATAGATTATTTGTCAGTAAACTTTTCTTGAGGTTAGTTTAACCTCAGGGAAGGTAAAGATTTGCAAGTACAGCGTGTCGATGTTCGACACATCTTTCGTTCGTAATGAAGAAGACTAATCAATAGCAACAGATCATGCCATGATGACAAATCGAGCTTTCCATTGAAGGATGCATGACACAAGAAGAGAAGGATGCCATGCCTGAGTCACGGTACACTGGGAGATCACGGAAAATTAGCATTATAGTACATTGA